TAGCTCTTTGGATTTGAGAATTCCACAAACGTCTTAACACCGTATTTTGCATAAAGACTTGAGTCTTAAAGCTTATAAAGTTCAGTTAACACCAGAACTCAAGCCGGCTGATCGGGATGTCGTCGAAAAATCATCTTGATGGATGCGGCTCATTCCCACTTCAATGGCTACGTCAATATGCAAAACTTATCTCATCTGGCGCTCGGAATCTCTAAAGATGTTTTATTGAAAAGCCTCTCTAATCTTAGCGTGTAACTGTTTGGTGCGGTTGATGGTAAGGTCGAGTCATTGGGCCTTACTTTTTCGATAATGTGGCTGGCGCAGCATTTACGGTGAATTAATTGTACTACTGAAAGATGATTAATGATTTTTATGGCCGGGATTAGATAGTATTGATCTGGACAACATTTAATTTGTTACGCTTTGTTACGAGCGACACTGAATTAGAAGGCGCATAAGTTATCAGGTATGCCAAAAGAGATACAGCACAAGGGGAAGTTTCCTCTTCATTTTTGTTGTGTATCACAGTTAACACATTGGTTTATATGCTGGTAAACAAGGATTGTGTGCAATCTGGATGTAAATCCTTTTGAGACCGGTAATCTTCACTGGAAGGTACAGACATTCTGCTTTGAAGCCAGCCATAGTCAAAGCAATCGATATCGCTCTTTCTCCTGAGTTGAAATACGTGTACATAGGCATAATCTTAGATAACAAACTCACTTCGAACTGGAACACGGTAGATAGGTAAGTGTAAGGAAGCTCCAACCGCACTCTGCTCCTGCAAGGCGACGATAGGTAAGAGATGTGGACCATGGCCACATATTTTGTACTGGCTATACAGCAGTAATAAAAAAAACATATTTTCTTCAGAGTTACTGTCTGGTAGGCAACACTACGCAAGGCTACTTGCAGGAGCAAGCTGGAAATAATTCAGCGGATGGCCTCCCATTAATTATTAAACAGACCAATGCAGACCTATATGGGAAACTTAATGCGGGCTGCAACGCCGTAACACTAAATGCAAGTCAACCATGGAAGAACCGCATTGGATACGCCCAAATATTCTGTTTCGACAACACTTTCTCAACAAAAAACCCAGAAAAAAATGAATAGGAAAATGCGGCAGTTTTGGCTGATAGATCCGTAGCTTCACACTAGAGGGCAAAGTAGGTTGTGGAGTTTACTCTGAAAGTAAAAGACATCCTGACCACTACAGCGTCTTCCAAATGGATGTAAACGCGATATCAGAGTTCTCTTATGGTTGCTCGGTTCTAATACGTTAATCCCACCTATTACAACATATTCTGACATTAAGCCTCTCCAATGCAATCATACCACCTCAAAGGTGGCAATGAATTGCAGAGAGATTTTAAGCAAACTCTCGACTGTATGCGAAACGTCCAACGCCTGAGGTTCGGGTGCCTGGTCATAGTAAAATGCCAGGGAACTGTGTAGCCGACGAACTATTCAATAAGGGAACAATCTTAACCACGGTATATAGAGCGAATCTACGTGCAATGTGACAAGACAATTCTGGCCATTAATCGAGACAAACAGAACAAAGTTTCTAAAGCCGGTCCTCTACTATAAAAGAGTCTCATAGGGAGTCATGGTGGAAGGATGGGCTGGTTCTCAAAACGACTGCAATTTTAACCAAAATCCAAAGCCGCAACAAAATCCTCGTCACTAGTCAATTGAAGAAACTACAAGGCTGTCAGAACAGCGCCTTGAGAAACATAATGGGGAAACCTCAAAATGCCACTTTACGCCATTTGCTTAGTGAAGCACGGAGCAATCAGTATAAATTTATGCTATGCAAGCAAATTCTACTGCAGAGATCATCCTTGCCGACAACCTGCTGATACATAACTTTATAGGCCTTAACCACCAGAATTAAGTTATAAAATCTTTTGCAGACTCAACTCCGACATACTTAATCTACGTTCAGTGTGTAATGAGACCGCTCACGATACTAAGAACTTCTTGCGATGCAAATTAAAACCCATTCATCTAACGTCCCTCTCCCTCTGACCCTAACCGATGACATCAACTAACTTTGCCTTCTTCTAAAGACATCCGCCTCAGAGATTCTTGTATTTATTACTGAATGCAGTCCTTTAAGTCGTGTACAATCTTTCCGACGCGCCTAAGTGAGGATGCAGAACTTAGAAAGTGTCTGTTCGGGTGCTCCATACGGTAAAATCCCAGCAGAAATCGCTTGCAAAGCAAATCATTATGCTCGTTAAGCCGCCGAAAAGATAGTTTTCGACCGGTCGGCCAATTGCCTTGTAAGTTGCCAGCAATGTTTTTTTTTGTCTTCTCCCCAGTTGCTGACGCTTTGAGGATTTAGTTGCGACTCTGGAGTTTTATGGCAATTGCAGTCGTATGCGGGGTGAGTAAGTACAAGCTGTCGAATGTGACTCTCAGTAGTTTCGGGTTGTTGATAGTAGGAACAAGTGAGACCAATATCCTGGCCAAACGTCATTATCGAGCAATCATCGGCATTTGAGATCAATGAAACCCCTTCTATTGGGGGAGGGAGCCGTGAGATATATAAACTAAATAACAGTGGAGAGAGGATAACACCCTGCGATACCTCTGGTTTAATCTTAGCGAATTTGGTTGGTTGTGGGTGTTACTAAATTGAGTGTGTAACGAAGAACTCAGTAAAGCCCATTCGTGAAATTATAAAAGGTGAGAGAGACCGAAGTTGGGCTTTTGGAACAATTTTCAAGCCGATGGAACGAATTTCTATCCTTTTAATTCTCCAAAAACAAATAAGTCCTAAAAAGTGGTTTTGTAGAGGTCTATTACTTAGGTTCGGTATTATTCTCTATACATATGTACATATGTTTTTACATACACACGTTCCCATTCATTTTCATTGGCATTCTGTGCCACAGACTTAAACTTAACCCAAAAACCCTTCTTTATTTATTTATGTGTGTACATACATACATACATATGTATGTATGTACCTAACCAAACTGTCAAAACCCACGCACCCAACGCATCTTCCGCGCGAAACGAACTCGCGAAACGAACTTGCGAAAGTTGATAAATGCGTAACATTTTCGTTGGCATATAAAATTGAAAAATTTATTAATCGCATGTGTCACTTATTGACTGCTTAAATGTAATAAAAGTCTCGTTTTCACATGCAAAAGCGTAAGCTTTGCAATATCATAAACAAGCGCCGAGCAGAGTTCAGCGGCAATGTGCATACAATCATACATATGTAGATATGAAGACGCAACATTTGCGCACGCGCACAGCGATTAAGTTGCCAGTGACAGTTAGTGGTGTCGCGACATGAAAAGGGAGGAGAAAGGGTGTGAAATGTGAATGAGAGAGAAACAGAAATTGCTTAAAAATCACAAAAATAATCATAACAATGACCTGCAATTTATGCTAAAGCCCTCTCATATGGTCACATTAAACAACCCATACACACACACGCGCACACACAACATACTAAATCCTCGCATTTCCAATTTCACTTTTTGGCCTAATTTCGCAGCTATAAGCTCAGCTTATTCCCATACAAGTAGGCAAACGTATATGTAAGAGGATAGGGAAGGTAGAAAACAAAAACAAAAACAGAAACAAAGCAAACCATATGCGCCTGCGCACTGACTGCGCGCGTATGGCAAACAAACATTTGTACACGCGGGTACATACATATTTATGTTTGTATACTGAAAACGACACACTGATTGGCATTAAAGTCGAGTGTCACCCACGGTTAGCGCAGAAATTTATGAAAATCTACATATTCCAGTCAGAAAACGATCAACACACATATATGTACATACATACATATAAGCTGGCAGGCGGTCGTGTGGTGGCGTCAACTAAAAGCCCGTCAACGCTGTGCCTGAGTGTGGAAGGAGAAGAAAATATTGAATCAATTGATTGTATAGCGTAGATATTTCAATTAGCGTAAATCGTGCAGTCGAGCGGGCGAAATAAGCTGAGTGCCAAAGCGCCGATATACATACATACTCGTAAGGTGCACGCAATGAGTAGTGAAATCGAAGATGCAAAGTTGAGCTCATGCGGTGGCATACGTTGAAATTGCAATGCATAAGTTTGTATGTATGTAGGTACGTCTATAATAGCGGTATGCCACACACATATGCACATATGTATGCATATGCAAAGAAACACTGTCAGACAGACAGTTGGAGAAATGAAATGCTTATCAATTGGGAGCATCATGAAAAGTTTGGCCATTTCATTGCACACCACCACCATGTGTGTGTTTTTCGCTCATTAATAATTACCATAATTCGCACGCAATATTTAAATGGAAGCTAAATTACGTACAGAAGAGATAAGCATTAAACGATGCCGCTGCCACTGGCTGTGCATACATACATATGTATGTACATATAATACATACCTACGAACATATCTGCACATGCATATATGTATTATTCCATGCAAAGCAGCTGCGCTTTTCACTATCGTATCAATATCGCATTATTTACTTATGCCCGTTGTAAAATAAAACAGAAATGATTTATCTGATTTCCAAAAATATGCGTGCGCCTCAAAGGTGGCCAATAAGACGACCGACCCTCGCATAGGCGGTGTCAGCTTTATAAAGGCGAAATAAATGGAAAAGTTGTCACAAAAGAGCGGCACAAATGCACATACATAAATTATGAATGACTAAAGCGGTTGGGTAAATAAATACCGATGAAGAAAATAGTGCTATAAGTAAATAAAATAAAAATCACATAACGCACTTACCAATTACAGTGTTTTTTTGGCAGTTATAAATTATAAGTGTGTGTTTTGCGAAATTGGTGTCGCCGGGTTATGCAAAGTAGTAAATTAAATAATGCTGAATATTGAATATTTCAAATGCACTTGCCTCGAAAATTTATCTATGGTTGATTTTGGTATTCAGTATTTACTTTGCACTGGAATGTAATTTACTAAAATGCACTAAATAAGTATATGTCATCCGCAGGAAGTTATGTTTGTTTGTTTTTAAACCTCTGTTTTATTGCATTTTTAACTGCTTCCTTATTGAAAAAATATTGCTTAAAATACATATAAAGTTAGTACAATGCAATATAATTAGTCTAAACTATATTTTAATACCGCCGTAGTTATCTTGTAGAGTAAGGGGCAGTGCTGTTATACTTTAATACGTATATGTTGTAGCACAGTAAAACAAAACAAGCAGAAAAATTGCTTTAAGGATCTTCAGGCACAATTTTAACAGTCATCTTCTTCAAGCCACGGAAAATGGTTATATCAAGTGATTTCGTCTTTGCTGCCAATGCTTCATAGACATCTGAAGAGTTCTTGATTTCTTTTTCATTGATTTGTGTGACAATATCACCCGGATAGAGGCCGCCACTAATAAAAATAAAAACATACTAAATAGTTTATTTCTTTATAATATCAATCATGTCATGTGCTTACGTGTGCGCTGGCGAGCCTATAATCACTTTCCACACCAGCACTCCGTGCGTCAAATCGCTTGGCACATTTTGTGTACGATTTTTCAATTCGAAAAGTATATCTGGCGTAAGCGTAAGCATTGTTATGCCCATGTAACGTTTGGCAGGATAATCCATTCGACTAACGCCCTCTTTGCGACGCTCTTCGGCACGCTTCAAAAACAATTTGACATAATCAATGGGTATAGCGAAACTAATACCGGCTGTGACTTTCATAGAGTTAACACCAATAGCTTCACCATCTAAGTTCACCAGTGGTCCTCCAGAATTACCAAAAGTAATAGCTGCATCTGTTTGTATGTAATTAATATCACGATTCTTCAAGCCTAACTCTTGTGACGCCCGTTGTGTGGAACTTACTACACCGGCCGTTACTGTATTGCTCAAAGCCAAAGGACTACCCAGAGCCACAACCCATTCTCCTGAACGCAGTGTTGAACTTTGACCGAGTGTCATTACCGGCAAATCTTTGCATTGTATACGCACTGTTGCCAAGTCTGATGTTTGATCAATGTCTTCGACGACGCCGGGAAATGTGCGTCCGTCATTTAAACGCACTTGTACCATTGTGTGCGGCTTATTTATGACAACATGTGCATTTGTCAGTATAAGACCATTGGAGTCGATTATGAACCCTGAACCATTTGATGCTGTTACTGGTTTTCCTGTGTAATAATCAAATTGACGCATATCCTTAATCTCTATATAAACAACTGATGGCGCACAGGCGTGTACCACGTCCGCAAGGAAATTATATTGCTTACGTCGCCCTGAAAGTGGTGGAGTGGTAAATGCAGACACATTTGGTATAATAGCATCTTTGTGATTGCATATTAAATAGGCGGTTATGGCAGTGGCGGTAGCTATTGGCAAGCCGGTTGTCCAGAGCTTACTTCTCCCATGTCCTGAGCCGTTGTTCTTGCTTTCGTCATTATACTTTTTATTCTGCTGATGGATGTCATTTATATGTCTGAAGCTTCCCAATAAAGCTCTAGAATTTGGATATTTAAATAAAACACGAAATTTTCTCAAATTATTTAACGCCATCACTTTCATAAGGTAACCAGTTTATTGACAGCTGTTTTACAAAAATCAGCTGGATAGATTACTGCTCTTCTTCTTAGTTTATGGCTGGTTACAATGAGACGTGAAGTCAAATAATAGTTAAGAAATTCACCACATTTTTTCATTTGTTTTTCACGTATCAATATACGTTCCTTAGAAAGATTCTCGATAAATACACTTCAATAATACTCCAAATTCCTCGAATTCGATAACCGGTTTGTTAAGCACAAGTTTATGTTATAACTTCTTTATTGTCAACACACATAGGAATAAACTTCACTTTGCATAATGCTGTCACTGCCGAATTCTCTACTTAATATCCAACTGCTTATTTCTTGAAATTCTTCAAAATTTATCACTTCCCTTTTTGGACTTTCCACCTTCATAAAGTTCTCTTTCGCTTTGGTTACATACCTCTCATTTCCCTTCCCGACTTTTATTCTTTCGAGGTATTCCCATTAGTTAAAATAAGTCAGCCTTTTATTTCCTGAGCAAACTTTTGTAGGATCCCATTAAATTTCTGGTTATGACTCTTCAAAATTAATTGGAAGATTTGTCTTCAAACCATATTGTCTTCATCAAGGATCGCGTTAGTGCCATGTAGTTAAATCTCTGGGGAACTATTTGCCGCACATCCGCTTCACTACTAGAAATAGGGCAGGACTGTTGTCATTCATAATCCAGTTCTTTAATAAAATCATCTTAAAGACATTGAAGGCGTAGAAACAACTTTGCTCTGCAATTTTTTTGGGTAACTTCTCTCTAGTAAATTAATAGATACAATACTAATCACTGGTATGTTTCCTTGAATGTTCTCGTAAGTGAATATTCGATACACGTGCTTTAGAACTTGCAGTCGTTATGAATATGCCTCAACGTAGAAGTTGCTTAAACGAATTCGCTTCGACTACAATTTTTAATATACTAACGGAACATTCTCACTTACATTTTAATAATCATTCAATTGTGTAATTCATTTTTTTAAATGTTCTGCATACGTTTCAAAAAAGATCTTAACATTTATGATATTTACGAGAATATCGTGACGATGTTATCCATATACAATCTTTTTTTTTAGTATTTCTATTTGCTTTTCATTCTTGGGCTTTATTTTATTTCTCATCAACCCCTCGTGGAACATTTTACATGTTATGATTTCAGTAAAACAAAATTTATTATAAAAATATTTATCACATATATTTAATTTTTTAATACAATTTTGTGCAACCCTGTAAATTCCAACTGACGTGTTCAATAGGCGTCCGCGCGGTGCTTTTTGACAGAAGGCGACGTCGTGGTAGCGGCTCAAACTTTACTGGCTTGGAAAATATTCTTTGGCGACTGAGTAAAAACTTAGTGTTTTAGCGTAGATTTGTTTATTATATCTTAAGTTAATAAAAATCATAAAACCCTACAAATATATAAAATGGGTTTAGGTGAGCTGTTGCAGTTTGATGAAATGTTACGAGATTTCAACAGAATGAACAAACGACAGGTAAATTCACTATACTGTTATGCTGTAGATGGATCTCGTCGGGTGGTATGACGTGGGAGGGGTTGTGTAGTGCGATTACACGTATGCAATTGCCTCTTGTATACATTAGTGATGCGAAAGTATTTATTAATTTTCTTTAAATATCTCCACTTTACCGCATAGTCACTTTATCAGATATTAAGTTTTGCGATGATCGTGTCATCCGCACTTATGATCTGGAAGGGGCTAATGGTAGTCACTGGTAGCGAATCACCAATTGTTGTGGTGCTCAGCGGTAGTATGGAACCGGCTTTCCATCGAGGAGATTTGCTATTTCTAACTAACTATAAGGAGGAACCAGTGCGCGTTGGAGAAATCGTAGTGTTCAAAGTGGAGGGGAGAGATATACCTATAGTACATCGCGTTGTTAAGCTACATGAAAAGTAAGTGCAGAATTTCAGTTCATTACTAAAACAGTGTTGCTAATAAGTTTTTCTTGTCCCAAATTTTAGGGAAGATGGTTCAGTGAAATTTCTGACCAAGGGTGATAACAACAATGTCGATGATCGAGGTCTCTATGCTCCAGGTCAACTATGGCTTACAAAAAAAGATATAGTAGGCCGTGCTAGAGGGTTTCTTCCATATGTCGGTATAATTACAATTTTTATGAACGAGTATCCCAAAGTAAAGGTAATATCTAAAGTAACTTGCATTCTTCGTACAATAATAAATATTTTTTTTTTATCTCTTTCAGTGGGCAATATTATCAATTTTAGCAATTTTTGTACTATTACATCGCGAATAATATCCAGCAACACGTCACACAGTTAGAAATAAGCAAAAGGGTACATTACCAGAGGGCCAATATATAAATTCGAAATTTTTAAACAGCTATTGCCATCGCAATCAAAATATCAACAACAACACCAAAAGCAACAACCGCAAGAGAGTTATTAAAAGTAACGTTTAAATGAACAAGTATTCAAATATGTGAAAAAGAAAGCATTTATTGAGTTTCGAAAAAGTAGGCAGAGTAAAGAAATGGTTGCAGTTACATCCAATTAACAAACAATGAGTACGTTTTGTACTTATTTGGATTTTTATAACCTTATTTCAAATGCCATTTCTTTTGCCAAACAACGAAATATTCCAGCGGTATAAATTTATATTTGAATTCTTATATTATCTTGTAAATCTGGGTAACAAAAAACACAATACAAGGATATATGACGCATTTTTAAACAATAATTAAGTTAATTAAAAAATCAACGTACTTTGCTTGGCCAACGTGAAAAAGCTTAAAAAAGTTTTGTAAAAATTTATTTTTGTGGCGCAACAATCATACAAAAAGGGGTTTTGTTTGTACTTCCGCTTTAAGTTCATGCATTTATTAATTACATTGGCTTTCTCGCTTTGCTTTGCTTTGACTGAATCGGTGCGCAATATGTATAGACAAGTTTAATAAGAAAATAAAATTGGCAAAGCGTTCGTATCTCACGGTGATTTATTTATAACCATTAAATTAAAAAGACAACTTTTATTTGTACAATTAGCACATTTGTCTTCATTGATTGAACTTTACAAACGAATAAAAAAGGAAAATATCATTTCATATACTAGTGATTTAATAAGGATGAATGTTTATTGATTTGAACCAATTTAGTTAGGTAGGCAGTCCATTATACTTCTTAACTCGGGTATATAAGTGCCTCGCTATGGAGGTTTATTGTTATCATCGAGGTCATCTAACGGAGGTCCAGTAAATGAGTTATTGCGACGGGTTTGGGAAAGGGGTTATTTGAATTGGTATTAGGGGGCATGCAAAGGGGTTGTTAGTGTTGTGTTGGGACTCTTTGCCTTCAGGATATACGTTGGTTATGTCGTGGTCAAGTCTGGATATGTAGGTGTTTAGTGTTGATTTGACTGCGAGTACGTCATTCAGTGGCAGAGAGTTCTTGAAGGTATTGACGAATTCTCGGTGAATATCATTTAAAGCCTGTCATTAAGCCGTCCTATTCAGCGGTTGTTGCATGTGGTGCTGAATGAAGTCCTTAAAGTCGAGTACTCCTTTTCTGAAGTGCATAGGTGGCGGTTCCACTTCTGTTAAGTGTCTTTTGGAGTGCTCTCTAAAGTACTATGCCTCTTAGCAAAGATGCTGGTTCTGAGGCCGCTGTTGTGGCAGGTAGGCACCGTCTTCATCTGCGTCTTTCTAGTCTCTAGTGCCCAGATGGGAGTAGCATAGTTTACGACCGGATTGCAGTTGTATGATGAGTGCAGGGTGTCGAATGCGACCTCCAATAACTTGGGGATGTTAATAGTCGAAATTTTTACGCCATTGAGTTCGAGCTGGTATTTCTTCGATCAACTGATGGAGAGGGTAGCCGAGGATTTTGCTGGTTGTAGTTGTAATTGTCTTACAATGAATTATCGGGAATAGGTCGTCAAGATAGCTTTTCTTTTCGGACTTAAATCATCAATATCCTGGCCAAATGCCAATGTCGAGCAATCACCGGTATTTGGCTTCAATGAAATCCTTTCCGGTGGAGGGGAGATCTTCGAGATATAAAAGATAAACAGCAGTAGGGAGAGGACACCACCCTGCGGAACTCTATATTTAACCATTCTGGGTTTGACTGTTTGATCACGAAATTTTATCGATTATTGAGGTCCACTCAGTTAGCCCATGATCCACCTCTTCAACTCGGTGGTAATGAGAATTCCGCAATGCCCGATAGTAGCACTGAATGGTTGACTGTGTGTGTGTGACAAATTCAGGACTACCAAGACAGTTCGCGCGTAGATCCGGTTTTGGTTGAGACCATTGACTATCTTAGTGCTTATGGCATTAAGTTGTACGAGGTGTAACAATTAAGTAATGAAACTGATTATATTGCTGCGAGTGTGGTAACCCTGTTACGTCCTTTCCCCTGCTCCCGGCATCCTTCTCCTTTCCATTGACATATTTGTCATCGCTCTAGATTGTTTAGTTCACCTGCTGTGTCGTGTGCTCGTCACGAAAATCGAAAAAGGGGAGCAAAAGCAGCATCGAATGACCGTCGCTGAAGGCTGTTTGGAACAAATGGAATACGATCCTATGCTGCTTGATCAAGTTATTACAGGCGATAAGAGCTAGATTTTTCATTACGACCCGGAAACCAAACGTCAAAGTTCACAATGGTTGTCATGGATTAGTCCACAAAGAGTTTCCTCCACCGGGGCAAACCGTAAATCAAGTCTACTATCGCCAAGTACTCGAAAGATTGCGAAAACGAGTCAACAAGCTACGCCCAGACATCGCTCATAACTAGATCTTTTATCACGACAACGCGCCGTGCCACACCGCCCTCAGCTTGTCCCGGTATTTAGCCTCTAAAGGTATCGCCGTGTTGCAATAACCGCCTTATTCGTCCGATATGTCACCCTGTGACTTTTTTGTTCCCTAGAACAAAACCGGTGGTCAAAGGAACCCATTTTGAGTCGTTTGAGGACATCCAGGCGGCCGTGACGAGAGTATTCACGGGCATCCCAGTCGAAGCATGGAAAATATACGGTTTTTATAAATTTACTTAATAATCACACCTCGTATTGTAGTACTGTGCAGATGTGACTTAGATGATGTGTGAAAGTGGCAAGCAGCATGACCTCAAGAGTCTTTGTTAATGGGGAGAAGACTCTCCTTGTCGGAGGGCGATGGATTTTGAGGATTTCGCCTTCTCGATAAGGAATCATCGCTGGAGGAATCAAGCATCGCGATGGTGTTTGCAGTTCGCGCAGACGGCAGGTCACTTTTTTTAAGTGCTCCTCTCACTTTTTCTTCCTGTGAATGACTGTAAGTCAAGTGATACTCTAAAGCTTAAAATCAAAAACGTTTTTTGATTCCAAATTACCCGTAAGAATTTTTTATTATAATTTCACATTTTTATAAAGATTTAAAAAATTATTTTCAGCTTTATAACATGTGTCTTTAGTATAAATATTAGAATGTGTATTAAATTCTCCCTTCGATTACTCCTTAAACTATTTCTTTCTATGTGAGCAATACTCTAGTATGTGGCAGATATTATTCATACATATAAACGCCAGTCTATATATGTACGCATATGTTTCTGGAACTGGAATGAAAAACCGCGAATGTTTTTTGTGTTTTTGTGAATTTCGGAGCAAAAGATTTGCCAACGTAAATGTATTATGTCTTTTTGCTTGCAAAATTCACAATCCAATTTGTTTTCAGCATTTTTTGCTAACGCGTTTCATCGCTTTGACATCGGTTCAGTAACCATTTTCACTTCGTTCGTTCGTTGAACTGCGTAGATTATTTTTTGAACATGGTCTCCATTAAATTTTCGCCAGGCTGATTTTTGGGCCTGGGAGATGGTGTTAGCGAGCGGGTATGTGGTTCAAGTTCTGCCTTTTTATGCACCGCAGAGGTGGCTGCACGACGTTCGCGTATCTTCTCCTCCATCTTGCTGGGCACCATAAAGCAGTTGGATTCACGATAGATGGGCTTGCGACGATCATTCCATGGGAACTCCCATTGGATGGGTGTGAAATCACGTCTCCAAGGCTTGCCTAAAAGTTGAAAATATTTTACGGTTTAATAGAAGACGGACCACTTTTCAATTCAATGTAATTAATAAAATGTAGACACTTACGTGGCCTAAACCAGTAGTGGCAAGTCCAGTCCTCTTCACCACCATCTTCAATATCGCTAGAGCGAAATAAAAATAGAAACAATTAAAAAATTTCAATATCTTTTCTCTTCACTTCATTCCAAAAACTTACCCTCTTACATAAACCCGCACATAACGTCTATTTTTACGAAACAAATCCAATGCTTGATTGAAGGTTAGTTCCAATGCTGGTGTATCGTTAATTCGTGTTATTTCATCACCAACCCGCATGCCAGCGCTTCGCGCCATCCCCGTTGGCGTTACATTTATAATAGTTAACGGTTCAAATTGATCACTACCACCGGTTACTTCCATGCCCCAACGTGAATCAACGAAACTCATAATACGGCGGTCGGTCTCCACTGTGTACGTCATACGGAACTCATATTCGACATTGTCGAAAGCGTCCGACTCGTACTTTGGTAATCTATTCCTTGGGTCGCGCATGCTGCATAAGATGGTTTGAAGGAAATTTTACAGATAATCATTTTTTTCTAAATTTCAAAGCATTTCCTGATGTGCTGAAAATATCTACCTGCTTTTATTTTCTCTTGGTGGAGTGACAATTAAAAACTCAGCCTCTTTGCGAACCAAAATTTGCACCTGGTCGACCGATCCTTCGTATTGTGCGTATTGCTTCTGACACTTTTGTCACTAGCGTCCACTACAGGCACGTCCTGACAAATAATCGTCCAAAATTCAATTACTCGTTGCATGGGTTGGTGGCTGGTATTTATAGTGGGCCGCAGCTTCTACGATTTCACGGCCAATGTGTATTTACTTCGCTTCAGTGTCGAGAGGTACAAGTTCATTAGGACGTCATCAATTTGTTGCATTTAAGTGCTGCTATTCGTTGTCTACGGTATTAAAAATAGCTTAGCATTGACAATGTGTAAAAGAACCTAGGGGTTTGCCAAAAAAACACCAAAATAAATAGTTCGATTTTGCCAAATTAATTTGTTTGTGTTGGTTTAGTCACTAATTTAATCGATGACGTCTAAATTCATGTTGTCAATCACTAACAATCTCAAGGCCTCAAACGCGCTGATTTCCTCTATTGTTTTTCACAAAACTTTTCTATCGATACCTTTCATGTGATGATTGTCAAGAGTGGCTAGGAAGGTAAGGCTTTACAGACTTGTTCTCTTTCCTTTCTCGCAGTGGCTAAAGAAAACAGTGGATACAAGTTGCGCGGTCTTCTATTCTTTCCTTCAGAACTTCTATATAAGAGAACCCTTTGAAAATTGTTAAATTCAGATGAAAACCACGCTGAACTCTTATGTAAAGATGGGATTGAATATATATTCGAACTGCTTCACAGTAAGCTGAAAGGCTCACACTATTTCTAGTAACACTATTTTTATTGCATTCCTTTTTTAATCAGAAAGGAGTTCGTATTTTTAGTCTACTCTAATTTAATATACTCTATCGTTAAAACTCTGATTTTGAAACTCCTTTTCTTGCATCCCTTGCATCTTGTTTCTTTTTTCCACTCTCAGCACCTTTTCTAGACGGTTCGCGTTGAGTGCTAAAATAAACTGGTCTCGGAACTTACGCGTGTATAGAACACTGGAGATATGTCGTGCGTTCATCGCAACCATTTTCTTTTGATAACATGGTCTTTGATTCGGAAATAACCATCTAGCTTGTTAACATTCTTTATTCGGGAGCCTGGCACTGTATGCAACAGTTTGGAGAAGCTTCAAGAAAAAAGCTGATTTGTTGTTCTGAAGATACCTGTTTTGCTTACCTTAGAAATTTTTTAAACCACTGGCCTGAAAATATATATGTACTTTCTTGGACTTATTTGTGTTCCGCCATATGGAGAGATCTGCACATGGTGAAGTTGTCAAAATGTAAACAATTTTTTTAATCTCTCTCATATGAAAATAACGTCTATGGCAAAAAAGCTTTGACTGCCTATTCTAAGTCTAGATCTCGTTAAAAATTGCTCTGAGACATTTCTTGACTTTAGACGGTGGGTTTAGGCATTCGTACTTTTCTTTTGGCAGAAGTAGCTGTAATAACGTCAGACTGATGCGAAGTGTGACTTCTTGTAAGACTGGCTAATATTTGCTTAGATAGCCAATCAACTATTACGACCTTGAGCTTACTCATAGTGAGCTTAAAAAATATCAAGCAATTTTTCTTACCTATATCTGTGGTGTCGGAGAAATAACCGAGAGCATAATGCTGAGGTAATTGCAAGTACGGGTCCCACTGGCCGGTTTGCTTCAGGGCTACCACTGTCATAGTTGTTTGCAAGAAGAGATGTTATTATCTATGAGTTTCCGAGGCTGAGGCTCAAAATTCTCAGATAGCAAACATTTACTAAAGGTGGCATCACAACGAATATTTCTTATGTGTCTGGAGGGGGACTTTCTTGGAGTCCGTAATTTTACCTAAACTAACTCAGTACAATATCTTTTGGTATGTGGCTATGGTCACCCGTCTTGGATAAGTGCCAAAACACCGTCTCCATACAATTAATGACTACAGTCACTCCATATAAAATAAGAAAGAAGTGGTGTCCTCGGCCATTCCTATACTATTAAGGAATACATAAAGCCTTTTGCATTGCATTTTAGGGTTAAATATTCGGTCTAATAAAAAGTAATCTATTATTTTACTATTGATGGCTTCAATGATCTGCATCTCGCGTTCTATTAGCGCGATTGGTTTACGCTGGACAGCGTTACAAAGATGATATTGTATATTCGGCACAACGGTCGGAAAATTCAACCTCTACGACAAAATATCACCAAATCGACTTCGACGGGGCCCAAAATACGGTTGTTTGTAGCACTAGATTCCAGCACAAAAAAATTCATCAAACTACTTGGCTTTAACACAAATCCAGATCGACCATGTTGTGTTAGACGGAAGACATTACTCCAGTATTCTTGACGGGCGCACACATCGACTCGGATCACTATCTGTGTATCAAAAAACGTTCGTCAGCAAACACAAGGGCGGTTCGACGTCGAAAAGCTGCAATAACAACAGACTAACGAGCGATTTTCTACTCGGCTTGCACACCTGCTTTCTGAGAGCACTCATCAGCACCTTGGTATAAGGGAACTGTGGAACGGCATCTTAAACACCCTAAGTAGTGAAGCAAGATGCATTTGCAGACAAAAAGAGAAAGAGGCCGAAATGCGTGAGTACGGAGAGCTTGAGAATCTGGCCGAAAGGCAGTGAAAATGAAACACCCAGAGACAATCGATGACGATGGAACTGACTTTCCGCTACCTGACCATGTCGAAGCTTGAATAACGATTGCCCACTTAAAAAACAACGAAGCGGCTGGAGCTGACGGCCTACAGGCAGAACTACTCAAACATGGCGTTGAAGAGCTGATAAGTTGCATTCATCAGCTTATTTGTAAAATATGGTCGGATGATAGCATGCCCAACGATTGGAATTTAAGTGTACTCTGCCAAATCCATAAAAAGAGCGATCCCACAGTCTGCGAAAACTACCGTGGGATAAGCCTCCTTAATATCGCGTATAAGGTTCTATCGAGCGTTTTGTGTGAAAGACTAAAGCCAACCGTCAACAAACTGATTGGACCTTATCAATGTGGCTTTAGACCTGGTAAGTCAACCAATGACCAGATATTCACCATGCGCCAAATCTTGGAAAAGACCTGCGAAAATGGGATCGACACACACCACCTCTTCGTTGACTTTAAAGCAGCCTTTGATAGCATGAAAAGAAGCTGCCTATACGTCGCTATATTTGAATTTCTTATTTGATATGTAAGCTGATCTTAAGCAACACTAAAAGCTTTGTCAGGAGCAGGAAGTAGCCCTCAGGCCGTTCGATACCAAACGAGGTTTCATACAGGGTGATTCCTTATCGTGTGAATTTTGTAACTTATTGTTGGAGAAAACAACACGATCTGCAGAGCTGAATGGCGTACGCCGATGATATTGAGATTATCGCCCTCAACAACCGCGCCGTTAGTTCTACTTTCTCCAGGCTTGATAAAGAAGCGAAGCGAATGGGTTTGGTAGTGAACGAGGACAGGGCGAAATATCTCCTGTCATCAAACAAACGATCCTCGCATTCGCTAGTTACTATTATCAGTCATAACATTGAAGTCGAGAAAATTTCGTCCATCTAGGAACCAGCATCAACACCAACGGCAATGTCAGCCTTGAAACAACACTCTTGCCAATAGGTGCTACTTTGGACTGGGTAGGCAAAATAAAGCCCTCTCTCGGCGAACGAAACACAATCTCTGCTGGTCGCTCATCATACCCGTTCTACTATACGGCGTAGAGGCGTGGACGATGTCAACAGCTGATGGGAGTCTTCGAGAAAAAGTTTTGCGAACGATTTATGGTCCTTTGCGGATTGGCAACGGCGAATACCGCAGATGATGGAAAGATGAACTGTACGAGCTTTAGGATGATATCGACATAGTTCAGCGAAAGGCGTGCTTTAACTAATTCGGCTATAATCGCGTTAGCGGTGCCTACGCCAATACAGAAGAAGAAGAAGATGCGTACTAAGTTTCGTTCAAAAACTGAGAGAATATTTTGCGCTCAAACAGACTTACGGGGATAGCTAAAGACAAACACAACTCGTCCTTCTGATCATATCGGCATAAATTTTGATGGGTCTTTGTCCTCATTTTGAGAAACTTAATTACTTCGGACCAAAATTCACGAGAGGTATAAAAACTTAAACATATATTCTGTTGACCTGTGTACCTTATCAACCATTCTCCTATCTATGTTTATGCGCTTATTAACGAACAAAGCTGCATTGTGGGTGTGAAGTCTTAAAGACTCATTTCGAGACCGATCGTCGAAAAGAGAGAGAGAGAGAATGGAAGCAATGAAAACAACGTAGCCAACATAGAGAGAGCAGCGAGAGTATCTGGCGCTCTCACATAGCAGCAATACATTCGTCATGAACTGTTGGACTCACACTTTATCAAACTTTTTGTTAGTAGTATTTTCGTCGCTGCTGCGTACAGATAAATAATTTGAGTGAATTGTGATCGTAAGTGCAAAGTAAATTTGTTAAAGTTTATGGAATGTATTATTTAATTATTTTTTTAATGTTTTAAAATTGACGTACTTTTATTAGTCTGTATATGAATGAACCATACGCCACTATAAATCTACATATGGTTATACATATATATGTATGGGTGTAAAGTTGAGTTAGGGTATTTTCAATATTAATATAAAAATATAATACAAAGTGAATAGAAAATAGAGCACAAGTTGTTTTGCGTGTTTACTAGAGTTTTTTTTTTAACATTTATACACACGTATGTTTGATAATAAATTTAAGAGCCGCTATAAAAAATATAAATATTTATATGTGTATACAAATATATTTACATCAACTTCAAGACGTGTCGTGTGAATGTGTACCATTCAATTCCTAACAGATCACATCATCGCGCCATAAATACGCGTACATACATACATATGTAAATTTGTTTGAACTATGTACATACATAAATACGATATGTCATCTGCGCCCCTGTTCTAAGTAACAGTACATCTCAGCTAAAATCTAATCCCACCTTTTTCCACGCCTTCAAGTGGATTATTGGCATATCAAAGTCATTTAAATGAATCACTCAACACTTGCCGCCTGAAATTGTAATTTGTTTTTCTTTTCTTTCCTTTTTTGCGTGTTATTTTTTTTTTTTTTTTAAGTTTCATATTAGTAAACACCGAGGTATTTGTATAATTATTCCTGGCATACTTGAGGTGGGGGACATCACTTATTTGGCGATCTGTTGCGTATTATAATGATTGAAAAAGGTCATACAACAATTTGAAGTTTTATTTTTATTTGGATAGAATATTTTTTAATATTGTTTACGTTTATGAAAGAAATATGTTCATACGTTATATAGGGTTAACCATTTTGCGGTTACGAAAAAAAAAATTTAAAATATTTTTTTCATTTAATTTACGCTAACCTCGATCAGTTTGGGTGGTACCTGGTCATAGCTTCACGAATGTTGGATTTTAAGTGCTCAAAAACTAAAGTTTTATTTATAACCATAACCGAAAGACTGGGGTAGCCCACGACAGAAAAAGTGCAACGTTGTCAAATCGCACGAGCTTGGTGGCCGATTGACATTGCAATATATATGTATATGGCGCCATAATGTTGAAGTCACATATTGTCCAAGTCGTGTTTTTCATTTACAGACCAAAAAAAACTCTCTGATCATACGACTATAACGCTATGAATGAACAATCTCGTCGTTTTAACTTTCAAGGAAGGAAGGTCCAATCACACCTTTGAACGAAATAGCGCAAGTTTTTTCATGTATAATGGCCTCTCTTCAATAGTTAGAGGATTATCGGAGCCCCAAATGCTGTAATTGTGCTTATTTGCCATATGTAAGCAAGTCCCAGCTTTTCAGAATGTCGAGAAATAGACTCATTCGGATCTTCGGCTACACTTTCACTTGCAGTAGCGATATTTGAGATGGAACGACCAAAACGATCATGCATAGTCCTCACAATATCTGAAACCGGTCCTCAAATTTCTTTAACCAATTCTTGAGTAGTTCAACGAGCATGTGCATCATAATCTCCTCTTAAAGCAAGCACAAAACGTGGCCACGCGTGATTCATATTTTTTTAGTAGGTCTTCAGATGTCAAAATATATCCATGTATTTGTCAGGCCTCGAAATGGATAACCCTATATGGCCCTACATATATTTACATGTGATGAATGTTTATTAAGTATGCAAATCAGTTTTGAAAAAACAAACGTTATTAACAAGTAAAAATTAGTTAATTAGGTTTTCGAAATGCGAAACCTCGGTTGTCTGACACATTGGCTCTTATATGGTTACGGGGGGGAAAATATGTGGGTTGTTTGATGTTGTATGACCACGTGCTGATTTTTCGAACTTGCCGGGGAATTTGCCTTGAAAACCGAGTTATTTTATCTCATCATTTAAGCAATAAGCTAAAACTTAAACATTTCCTAGATGATGATCGATTTGAGTTTCCATTATGACAGCTGTTTGGTATTGAAGTTCTGTTCTTACAAAAGTCAAAAGCATCTTATCGGAAAACTCATAATTTTTTTTTGGGCATCTGGCATGCAAGTTCATCATCTTTATTGGCGTTGACACCGCTTACGCGATTATAGCCAAGTCAATATTAGCGCGCCCATACTAAGTGACACCATGTCGCTCTCCACTTGATCCCTCCAATGGAGTGGAGGTCCTCCTCTTCCTCTGCTTCCACCAGAGGGCACTGCAACGAATACTTCTAAAGCTGGAGTGCTTTCATCCATTCGGACGACAGTGCCTAGCCGGCGTAGCCTCTGTCTCTGCATTCACTGGCTTGCAAGTTAGACAGGCAAATATTTATCAAATAGTTCCGAAAAATGTTATGAAAATAATTTGTTTAAATCTTGCACCCAATTTTCGCAGTAGCATTAATCACCACTTTCGAAAAGTTCTTAAATAAATTTTATCTTATCATTGTGTTAACAATTAATGCTATGAGACACGGAATTTCATGACTCAGATGAATGGATATGGAGTGGCATGGGTGTAAATATGCGGTACACATGGCCAATACATACATTCTCGATACTTAGTGGTCGGTATCTTAAACTAATATGTACAAGAGATAAGAAAGAACTTAAAGCAAATCAAGTTGGTAAAGTAAGAAAACATTACACAAACTATTTAATTGAAAATATTTTTTAATTTTATTTTATTTTTATTTAAAAACTTATTGTATCTGTATCTGGTTTTTGAAATCACAAAAATATGTTTTTTTAATATTACTTAAACTTGAGATAAGCTATTTTTCTCGGAAACGGAGAATTGAAAAAAGAAAAACATGTTTACCATACAACAACATTGATATCATAGCATAACTGAAATAATATACCAACTATACTTTTTTTCCAGAACTTGTTTGGAGTAATAACAGCAAAGTTCTTCACCTTAACCTACGACAATAAGCCGTTCTCTGCAGCCACTGAGTACGCCTGAGAGTTTGAAAAAACCAAAGACTACAAAAGCCACAAGAAGCTCAAATATTTCTATACAGTCTGCTCTATCGATCAACGCTCACCGCAAACAGCGTAAAGCAATATGGGCAATCCAATCTGGTTTATTTTTTGGTTTTTAGTTTTTTGGTTCATTTCTTTCTTTGTGGCTTTCCTTGCAGCATTCTTATATATAATACTGTATGTGCTGGAAGTCATCTTTAGTGGGCTATCGGTGAGTTCTTATAATATGTACATATTTATGCATAGGCAAATCATTAGCACAGTGGGTTTACAGTGTAAAAAAAATGTGTAAAAATGAATGCTATTCAAAAATATTCACAATTCATTCAGTATAATTTTTGCTTTCCATTTCTAACGTAGACAAGGATTTCTTAACTTCCATCCTCATTAATCAAAAGTTATGCCTTTTGTCGGCAATATTTAAAATAAATTTGCAATTTTCGTCAAGTAAATTTCATGATTTATCCCACTTGGATACATATATATGGTGCATAATTTATTGAATTGATTCATTGAACGCTACGGAGTTGTTCGGTTGCTTCCGCTTACTTCCGCTTACTTCCGGGTACGCCTTTCTATAAAGTTCCAGCTTAACATAAAGTATGATTCCATCTACCCAGTACCTAATGACCAGGCAAATCTACTCTGTAGTTCCAGGTTCCCTTCAAAAAAAAATTTTATAAATTAAATGGAACCATAAATAAAATTTTTAAAATAGATCAATCTCAGTTCCACTTCCCAAAATGTAAAGTACGCGATGTGACATTTAAGTACTGATTCTAGAAAAACCGTATATTTCAAAATTATTCTACAACTCTGCCATCAACCCCCCTAGTCCCCATGGGCAGTAAATATTGCTACAACGATTCGCGTTGTCCATGCTTCGTAACTTTTCTGGATCGCTTCGACTGAGATGTCTGCGAGTATCCTCATCACGGCCGCCTGGATGACCTCAATCGACTTGACCATCGATTTTGTTCTAGGGAACATATCGTATACCCTATTATCTCTTCGTGTATTTACGACATGAAAATTCAAGCTGCTCATAAAAAATGCATGTGCCGCTTGGAGGCGGCTCAGAATAAACTGTAGGATCCTCCTACAATACAGCATAAATTAGAGGTAGAGGTACCGAAAGTACTTTCATTCTGGTGACTCAGGAGAAGCTTTTGAAAATTGATTGTTCCAATTTTTTTCTTACATACATCTAATATAAATACAAAAATTCTTATTGATATTTTTTTTCTTTTCTTATTTTTCAGGGCATCAACGGTTTGCTTTTGCAAGGCATTCAATTCCCTCATTACTGCGCTCGAGCCATGTTGGACTGCAAATCTCCTTTTTAAAAGTTTAATTTAGTAAAAATAAACATCTTTGTTTTGTTATCTAATATCATTAGGGTACTATTAATTTTTATGTACGATGTTTTGACAAGAGAAGTAAGTTACTTCATAACACCATCCGTATTCGATGCGGTAAAATCAATATGTGGTCACGTTTTCACGATTTCACGATTATAGAACGATTATTAAACATCAGATTTGGATCTTTTTTTGGAGTTGTAAAACAATCTGAACACTAAAGAACACTTTTGAATAATTTGTTAATCCAGCTAAGGAGGTTGCGTTTTGTGAACTCAAATAAAAGCTTTATAAATTTGCTTTAAGAAAGTTTGTTACAGAGGCCATTTAGTTAATAATTTTAAAATATATATACTTTTTTTCTACAAAATCTGAAATGACGTAGAGTACAAAAAATTATGAGTTTTTATTACACATATGTATTTGACTAAGACTTTGTGAGTATGAAGTACATGTTTTTAGAATTGTTGGAAAAATTTCATGACGTTGCAAATCAATTGCGAAAGATACTACGTGTACATAAAGGAATGCCGAAAAGTCGACTCTGATATCTGAAGCTCCGTACTAGGGGTTTTTTGGGGCATATAAGTACCCCAAGCTGCCTTGAAAGCTTGAGGTAAGGCTTAGGCTATGTAACCGCTGGAGCGATTTTTGGCCGAGCTCCTACTCCAATTTTTGGTATTGCGTCTTGATGTTTTCCCAACAAATGGAAGGAACTAGAGGTTATCCCAAGCCGTTTCCGAAATCCGGGAAACTCCTTTTAATTCTGCGTAAATTTATTCCTTCCTTTATTTCATTTTAACTATTATTATATTTGCCTTTATTTTACTTTAATTTAATCTTTTTACTTGTTTTATTTAGATAATTTTTTAATTTAAATTAATTAATTTAACTTTATTATATAATTTTTCTTCTTTTTTATTTTGTTCTATTTTGTTTAACTTAATTTGTTATTAATTAATATCCTTTTATTTAATTTATATCACTTTATTTACTTTCCTATTTTGTGGCGACCGCGGAAGCTGAGTGGAAAGCTTTACGAACTGCCATTCGGAAGCCCCGGTACGACCAACATCTCAAAATTATAAAAAATTAATTTAAAAAAAGTTAATTTAAGTTTTCAAATTGAATGTAAACCCCTGCGAGTTTATTTCTGATATTAAATAGAGGTTCTTTATAAATAGAACATTAGCTGCTAGGAAGCGGCTTAGTAGAAACTGTAAGTCCCTCCATTTGTTGGTAAAACCTAAAATTGGAGGAGCTTGGCCGACAATGTTTTCAGCGGTAACAAGGCGTAAATTATATGCGTATATTTGTACATTGTTAAATAAAATTTTGTATTAATATAGTTTAATTGGATTTAATTTTTTTTATTTTATTCCACTTTACTTTATTTTATTTTATTTGAATTTATTTTAATACATTTTTTATAATTATACTTTATTTTATTTTGTTCTACATTGAATAAATTAATAATTTTTTTATTTATTAAATTAAGATAAATTTTCTTTCATTTTATTTTGGTTTATTTTATTTTAATTCATTTTATTTTATTTTGTTTAATTTAATTTTATTTTGTTTTATTTTACCTTTTTTATATTGTTCAATTTAATATTTTATCAATTTATTTTAATTTACTTAATTCATTTAGTTTATTTTATTTGATTTCAACCTATTTTGTTGATTTTGTTTAACGTTTTTTTTTCTTTTCTACTTTTTTTTGTTATATTCCATCTTTGGCGTCTTAGTTTTTAATTTATTTTCATTTTGTTAGTTTAACTAATTTCTGTTATTTAGTTTCAATTTCTATTATTTTTTATTTAATTTTTAATGTATATCATTTCACTTATTTTCTTTTACTTAATATTATTTCTTTTTTAATGCAGATATAACACTTTATTTTACTTCTTTTTCAATTATATGTTGCTGTATTTTGTTTGATTATATTTTATTTTTATATTATTTTTACTTTTTAATTCTTTTTCGTTTAAATATTTTATTTTATTTTCAACACTATTTCATATTACATATTTTTTTTAACTTGATCTAATTTTTTTTAATTGTTATTATGTTTTAAAATTACATTATTTTCATCCTTATTATTTTATTTTATTGGATTCTACTCGTATGTTGTATTCCTTAATTTTATTTTAAATGTCCACATTTTATTCAATTTTTTACTTTTATTTATTGTATTTTTAATTAATATTTATTTTTTTTTGTTTTATTATATTTTTCATTTTATTTTATTTGGAGTGAGCATTAATTTTTCTTTGTTTTGTTTTATTTTATTTCAATTCCTTTAATTTTTTAACTTACTAGAAACATCACCCTTATATATGTACCTCATTAAAAAAATTGTCAAATTGATTTTTTAAAAACAAATTCAGAAATCAAAATATTTTCAATCGTCTTCCATTCTGTTTATCTTTCAACACTGGAAAAAGAAGAGCGTTCGCAACTACAAAAAAAGCTACTGAGAGATGAAAAATCCGCTTTGGTTCATTTTTTGGCTGTTGGTCCTATGGTTAATTTCATTTATTGTGGCATTCATTGCCTCCTTCTTTTATATTTGGTTCTACATGTTTGAGGCGTGCTGTGATTGCTGGAGTGTAAGTATATACAAAAGATATATATAGAAGTATGTGTGATTTGCAATGAATAAGTTTTTCTCGTTGAGGTACATAGAAATATAACTTAGTATTTGATATAGATGAAGAAAAATGATTACATTCGTACACGTATATGAGCCATATCCGTATAAAAATCTGTTTTAGTAAGTGAATAAAATTACTAAAAAAATCATGAAAATGAGTGATTAAGTGAAAACTAAAGCTTTACTTAAAGACAATAAATCAAAGTTTTAAATAATTAAATTTTATATTCCAACCATTTTTGCACAACTTTGCTGCTAAATTTGTGATAGGTGTCAGTATAGGGCACACATATGTAAATGTTTGTAAGTTGCCTTAAATAATTTTATTTTTAAAATTCCTTTTATTTAGAAAATAAATGATTTTCTGTTGAAATGCGTTCAATTCCCACATTATTGCGCCAAAGCAATGCTCGAATGTAGATCGCCATGCTGAAAAAGAAAACTAAGGCGTTTAAAAATATTAATATATATTTATATAAACATATATAAACCTTGTTATATGCAAAATAAAATTTTAAATAAATTTACCTATATGTGTTACTTGTATTTTAAAATATTTCAAATATGAAATATTAACTTAAATTTATAAAAACGTCAGCTCGTACTAACGTAGCCTTTTCGGGATGATTCGAGAATCTTGTGGTATTAACTAAAATTATCGATGTGGTGAGTGAGGTCTTGTGGAGGGTGGAGGGCGAATGTGCTCAATATAATTGACAGTTGAAAGGTGTTGGTGTTGGTGTATATGTGGTCAAAGGATGATTTATTGGGAGTAAAGCCACACTGGGAAGGTCCAATTGGAGCCTTTCACATAGCACGCTCGATAGGACTTTATATGCGATATTAAGGAGACTTAGCCTACGGTAATTGGCGCAGACTGTAGGACCGTCCGTTTTGTGGATCGGACAGAGCACATTTAGGTTCCAATTGTCGGGCATGCATTCATCCGACCATATATTGCATTTGATGTATACTCTTTATCAGTATCTTACCGTCACATTTTAATAGTTCAGCTAGTAATCCATCTGCCATCAAGAGCACTCATTACATGCCTTCCGTCTATAAGAACATGATCGATGCCTTTTTGGTTTTTCGATTAAGATACATTCAAGTAGCGTGATGTACACGTATATTCTTGTTCTACAGACAACTATATTTGAGGTACCGGTAAAGTTCATCAGCCTCAACCCATTTGGGGATATTTCGCTGTGGAGGCTGAAATTTCCAACAGTGCCGAGGATATCCTGTTTGCCCACCCTGCGCTTAAAATTGCTAATCACGATTTTCACATCCTGGCGGCGACATATCATGAGTATGCTCCAGGCGTTCGTGAAAGGTATGCTTGGTCACATTGTTCCCTTCCGTCGGGTCGTGCATGCAAATCATGCGGTAATGTCAACCTTTATTTCTACGAGGACAACAACCACCTGGGAAGCCACACTTCCCAATTAAGCGACCGGACATTCCAGATGAGTAAATTTAAATTTTATAAGCGCTTTCTTCAATACTGATGCCAGATCGTTGCCACACCTATGGTGAATAGACGCTGCAATTAGACTTCAATCGCAATAAGTCGGAGTGGCTCGACGGGTTGTTTACCGCATCTTGCACAAGTGTTGCTCACGTTTCCAGTATGCGCGACATGGACTCAAGCGTAGGAATTGAGTATAGCCCCGCGACTGTAACTGCATACCCAGAAGCTTGACTATACCCCCTTACAGCCCAGATGAACTATTTAGTGCAAAAACGGAATCTTGCAAACAGCTACTATTTTTCCCTGCCTTCATATTACATCGCTTATCTTCATTATAGGTCTTGAAATATTTGTTATTACTGTCAAAACGCTTCTCTACTTTGCATCTAGAAAATTATTTAAAGTGTAGCAATTGTTGACCTGCATTCGAGTAGTACAAGTAATAAAAGTCCGTAGGCAAATAGTGCGCACGTGTTTTCATAAACCTTTGTAAACAAAGAGAAAAGCTCTGAGCAAACTGGCAAAAGTTCGACCGAAAGCTAAACTAAGGCAATGACAGAAAGCTTTGTAACATTTGAGCTTGCGAAGGAGAAGAAACTGAATAACATTTAACAGGAAATGAGAATGTAACTTATTCTTAAATTTGTGTGAATTTAATTGTTAACACGTATAATTCTCGAGGTATCTCGAATGCTGAGATTTTCTCAACTGACCAGATAAAAGCATGAGAAAAACTGTTATACAAATACATTTGCGTACCCCGCGAGAAATAACGGGCTGTCAGGTGGTTTTCTAGCAGCTGGCAGGTGGTTGGCGATTCAATTGGTGTGAATGCAAACAAGGTTACATATATACACTACAAACAAGTAAGTATGTCTCTGGAAAAGAAAGCTTTAGCGGAAAAATTAATAACTTTTTCGGCATAGTACTTGCCACTGTCCCGGGTACAATTCAATAGTGAGTGCTCTCTCGACGCGGTCAGTGTTGATTTTAGCGGATGAAGTGTTTTGAAAAAAAAAAAAAATACTTAAACACAAGTTTTGAATTTATTGAAAGAAAGCAGTTACGTTGAAAAGTAAAGAGAGGGAAATATGCACATGTAATGACATACATATAATAGAAGAAGTTGAAAAAATACTCAGTGAAATGTGAATTAAATCAAAAATACAATAACTACATAAACGATTCCTTGCCAAAAGTGAATGTAGCTGTATATTATGTAATTCTATATATTATAAAGTAATATAAAAGTTTTCCCTGACAGTTTTCTACATGTGGAAATATTTTTTATGCTAATATTCGTCACTTTCAAAACAAAAGAAAAAAGCTCAGCAAATTGGAATGTAGTGAAAACCATTTTTTTTTTTACAAAAACATATGGCAAACTTTCAACTTTCGTATAACAAAAACGTAGCATACCTTACGGCGTATAGCGGTTCGGTCATGTAGTCGAACCTACAACTCGTACAACGTACACGAACAAAAAACTATATATGCTTATGTTTATATATTCATTTATGTAAATACTAGATGTGCTTGTATATTCTCCCCCTAAATTTTTGTTGTTGTTGTCATAAAAAACAGCTGCAAAGAGAAATATACCGACAGTTGCCTCTGGCACGTTGTGATCGATTTTTCGCTCTCTCGCGTCCGCGTTGATTAATATAGCGCATTGTAGCAGAAATCCTCTAACGGTTTCTCATTTCAAAGTTTCGCCATCTTCCTGCTCCTTTTTGCCTTAGCCGGACTTTACAACTACATAGCAGCCGCGGCGTACCAACCCGGAGAAAGCGTAGCACTGGCTTGTACATAGATAACTCAAAGTGGGGTGGGTATGTTTCGCGCCGGTATGGCAAGAGTGACAAGAGATAAGTGTAAAATAGGAAAACAAAGTAGAGCACACCAAGATAGCAGGCTTTAACTGGATTTGTTTTGATTATTGCGCGTTTTTGCGATTTATGACTGTGTGCGTGGAAGTGTGGCAGTTGAGCAATCGTTTGTTTATATTATGCACGTGAAAGAGTATGTTCATAAGATGTATATATATATATATATATATACATGTGTGTGCACATAATTGTTGACCTAAACATACATATGTGCATTCTATTTGCAATTGCCGTCACAATACTTATAGATGCGTTTTTATTGTTGCCAATTCATTTCCAAGAGATGGCTTAAGTCTCGTAATTGTGTCGAAAATCTAAATTGCCTCATCAAGTCATTTCCTTTGGGTTACCACCCAAGAAGATACGTCATTCGGCAGACCGATTTCTTTCTTCTTCTTAAAGGCAGTTTTTACTTTCGCCATTTGATGTCAAGTCATTCCCGATCTGATCTTTCCAATGAAATGGAGGTCTTTTTTTACTCTGTTTTCAACGGCCTATACCCTCGTTTTTGTCCTATTCTATTATAATTATAATTACTAATTATATAATTTGCGTATTTAAATACAGATTACAGAGCTGCAAAAAAAAACTACATTTAAGAATCATCTTGAGGGTTCCACCGGTCTTTGAAGTCTTGAAACTTTAACATTTTTCACATGCAAACTTCAATACAAAGTACGTTTTAATTATATTGTAGAAATAAGAAAAATGCAACAAGAACTCAATTAAAAAAATTAAAATAAATTATTTTTCTTGCTTCGAACTTGCAGACAAAATTAGGCATTTCAGTTCGTGATTACAATCGGGAAATTAAAAAAGCCATCTCTTGATGCAGCGTTAGTTGCACTCTGTCACCAATTTGACACATCTTTCCACAGCGCGTGTGTAACAAGGAGAGTCTCCAATTTCTAAGCTTTTACCTTTTGCTATTGTTTGAAGATCCTGATTTGAAATTTGTTAAAGAACCGGTGGTACTGTCATTTGACATTCGTGACACAGTGTAATCATTAGTAGAGAAGTTAAATTTTGCGATAATTTTCCATGGTTGCCTCTTCGCCAGGCAAATTGCCAGTTGCTGCACCAAAAGACACAATGCTTTTATTTTCGCATTTGTTTTCCGATAGGCTTTGAATATTCTCTAGGACCTAAAGTACAACCATCAAAGGCCAAAAATAAATGTCTAAGCGGCAATTCATTAGCATGAAGCAAGCAAACGCCACCTTTCCAATCGGTATTAGTAGCAGTCTCATCGAACCAAACTCAGATCACGTTATCTAAATTCCAAGATTAACTCTTTAATAACGTTGTGGTCGAAGTACATATTTTCTCGGCAGTACCATGAATTGGTTTAGATTTTCAATACTAATAATAAATGAAAACATTACTACAATAATTTTCATTAAGTAAAAAGTTTCACTGGGCTATTTCGCTTAAATTTGATTGTTTATTTTTTTTTTTTAATCAAACCGTAAGCAGTATGGGGTCTCCAATTATGGTGGACATGACCGCTTCAGGTGTGGGCGAGCGGGTTTTCATTGGAGGCATTATGGACAAAATATACTGAATGGAAATTCATGAGAGGAATGTCAAAAAAGCGCCGAAAAACTTAAATTGCAAGTCATTATCATTTCAGCACGTTAATGGTCCGAAGCATACCGCTCATGATGCGCGTATGTGGCCTGCACACCATATTAAATATATACTGCCGCATCCAGCCCAATCGCCTGATCTAAACCCAATTGAGCATTTATGGTAAGAGCTGGATAGGTGCGCTAAAAAACACCTACTACAAACAAAAGAAGTGCTGAAGGTGGCACTGGTGCAGGAATGGCAGAATATCGGGACAGAAACCACACAAAAATTAGCCAATCGTGATTGTGCTATCGATACATGCGATATACATTGAAAACGCAGTTAGCAGACCGGTTACAAAACGTCAATAATATTTTATTCAAAATTAAACTTTATTTTTTTTTTTGTGATGATATCAACCCATTATAACGAAACTATGTTTGTATAGTTTACTTTTTATGTACCTAGTTTAGGAGGTGTGAACTACAACTCTGCCAACAACCCCCCGTAGTCCCCTCGGGCAGTAAATATTGCAACAACGATTCGCGTTGTCCATAATTCGTAACTTTTCTGGAACGCTTCGACTGAGATGTCCGCGAGTACCCTCGTTACGGCCGCCTGGAAGTCCTCAATCGACTCGAAATGGGTTCCTTTGACCACCGATTTTGTTCTAGGGAACAAAAAGTGCCAACGTGCCATATCGGGCGAATAAGGCGGTTATTGTAACACGACGACCCCTTTAGAGGACAATTACCGGGCCACGCTGAGGGCGGTGTGGCACGGCGCGTTGTCGTGATGAAGGAACCAGTTACGAGCGATGTTTGGGGGCAGTCTGTTGACTCGTTTTCGCAATATTTCGAGTACTCGGCTCCATTTTCGTGACGATCACCATGTCCTCACGTTTACTCAACACGACACAGAAGGCGAACTAAACAATTTAAATTTTTATTATTTAATTCTATTTAATTTGATTTTTTTTAGTTTTAGTTTATTTTTTTTGCTTTATTTTTTTATTTTATCTAATTTTATTTAGTTAATGTTTTTACTTATTTACTCTATTTTTGTAAGTTCATATTATTTTAGTTAACTTTGCTTTATTATTATTATTAAATTTTGTTTTGTTTTATTATATATTGTTATTAATTTTTTTTTTAAATATTATATTATTTTCTTTTTTTATTTTTTACCATATTTCATTTTTTATATATTATATTATATTTATATATTTTATTATATTTTATTTATTTTATTTTACAGTATTTTTGTATACACATATCATTTTATATAGTATTTTGTTTTTTCTATTTTATTTTATTTATTTTTAGTTTTTTTGTTTTTTTTCTTTTAAGCTACTTTTATTAATATAATAATTTTTTACATCATTTTATTTAACGTAATTTTATATCAAATTATTTTAGTTTTTCAAATATTCTTTTTTATTCATAAAATAAATAAACATAAATATTTTATTTTATTTTGATTTATCTTATTTTATACTATCTGCTTTATTTGATTTTTTTTTATTTTTTTATTTTGTTATTCTTATTTTTTTATTTCATTTTATTTTATTGTATTGTGCTATACTTGTATATATTTAGTTTATTTTTTTATTTTTATTATTTTATTTTGTTTTATTATATTTATTTATTTTTTTATTGAATGGTGTGAATTTCATCAACGTGAATTGTTATACTAGGTCCAAAGTAGGTAAGTATCACAATAATAAGACAGATATCCACAAAAATCAGAACTCTTGGTCCGTCTACGAATGGCTTGTGGATATTTGTGGAAAAACTTCAATTTAGCATTATTTTAATTGTTTCATAAACTTTTTGTTAAATGGAGTTGGACGTAATTTTTCAGTATGTATTTTCTGATGCTGAAATCTCGTTGCAACATTCGCTGCGCTAGAGACGTAAAAGAGCCAACTTGACAATAAAAGTTAAAGGAGCTTTATCAAAAAGCTTTCTCTGGTAGTTGTTCCATAGCATAAACTGAGAAAATGTAGCGGAATTTGTTTGCATATGTACATTTGACGGTATGTACATGAAACTTTTCTACAGAGATTGTGAGCACAAACTTTAGGTATGTATGTATATATGTGTATAGGTATGTTTGAATAAACAAAACAAAATTTCATACACATAGCGGCTGGTGATACTTGTAAGCTTTACTCACCGAATGCTTATCAGCGAGCTAAAATGCTTTCAAAGCGAAAAACTACGAGTTTGTTGTTGTGAGAAATTTTGTATATTCGGCAGAGGTGAATATATATATCTGTACTCTTTGAGTAGAGAAGTAGAACATTTTAAAAATATTGCTCGCAAGGATGCTCGGCTCAGTTAAGTTTGAGACGTTGCCGTGTTAAGACCAAAAGCGGAAAAATACACAGCAAATAAATGATATAAGCCGTGAAGCGTTCTTTAAGTATTAGTAAGTGTACATATATGTATATATACATACATATATGAAATTGCTTGTATGTTTAGTAGATAGTGCAAGAATATAACTTACAAAGCTATGTTTGCATTTACAAAGAAGCACGAGAAGAATTAATAGTGAGAGATTTTATGGCGAAAAGCAAATGATATGGATTGAAAAAATATTAAAGAAGAAAAGATAACGCTAGGGGGGGAAAATAATAGTTTATAAAGTTCATACATATTTTCATATTTCTGCCAATAGTGGAAAGTTTTTTGTGCTACTGCTTAACAAAAAAAAACTGATAACCAATACCAGCTATAAGGACTTTAAGTACGAGTATAACATAAGTGCTGGAAAGTATGCTACACTTTTTGAAAACTTAAAAAAAATAATATATTATACATTTGTACATATATACTCAAGTGCTTGCGTGAAAGTTTAGTGCTGTGGAGTTTAATATTTGAAGAATATTTCAGTCGCGTATTTCAAAACAATTTTAAAAAATATTTGTAGAAATTTTAAAACAAACATATACATACGAGCTCGAATACACACATCTATTTGAAATGTGTTAGTGTTTACATATTAAATCACATTTGCAGTGCATACAAATTTTAATCACTTTCAAGCGTTTTAATAAAAAGTTGCCGTTGAGATATCAAAAAAAAAAATTAATAATAACTTCAAGAGTAAACATTTCAACTAGGTAAGCACAAAAGCATCTGAATGAACTATTTTCATATTTTAACCAAGTTGTCAATTTTATATTTGTATATATATTTATTTATTTGCTTTTGCTTGTATCGTTGTATTTTCTGTGTTATGTGTATAGAAGAAAATCTTAGATAGATTTATTTTAGATACATGCATTACTACTCGAAAAGTGGATATGCGTAGAGCCATATCTTAAACAATAATAATTTAAAAATTTTGACATACAAATATATGTAAAATGAGAGGCTAATATATCCAATATCGATGACAGTTAATCTGCAAGTTATGCTTTATTATCCTTTGTATACAATGTAGCACGGAAAGTGTTAATGAAAGATTGATATTTTATAACCCGTTACGAGATGGTGAGCCGAAATTTTCCACTTATTTTTTTGGTGCACATCTTGATATCTTTTTTAAAAATTGAGTAACTTAAATTACGAAATCTCCAAGTCTGCGAGACTATTTTGTTCTCGCAAAAAAAAAATTTATCCATTTGTTTGATATGTAGCGGGAACGAAATTTACTAGTCTTTAGTCTTAGTTGCTTCGTAAATAACAAAAGACAGTGGGAATCGGTCAACCTGGAAGTTATATTATAATTGTTTGCTTTTAAAAGTAATAAAATGTTGATGCCTTCACTTGTTTCCCTTGTATTTTTCTTTTTCCTACACGACCATCAAGCGTAAGATTTTTATTTGCCTTTCCCTTTCATTTACCTTTATATTCGGTCTTTTATCCGAACATTCGTACAATGATTTTTGATGAGCAACGTGATCCGTGAAGACTTTCAGCTTACTTTTATTTGTACGTACAATACTATCTCTTCACATATGTATGTACATACAAACATAGCCGACACGCGCCCCCAAACCACACTACTACACTTGACAGACGCATTCTTGCCATCGCACTTGGTATCTTTCACCCACATCCTTGCTGTCATGCCAACGTATTACAGATTGCCTACTCGTCAACATCTCACTTTCCCCACTTTGGCGGAACAGCGGAACGGCCTGACAGCTTTGCTAGCCGACTTTGCGCTGTTTACCTAATATGAAGTAGTGAATGTTTTTATACATACATACATATTTGTGTGTAACTAGTGTATTTCATTGTGTTTTTCTTTTTTCTGCGAAATGTTTACATTTAAGTTTAATATTTTATGCATTTTTGCTTGCTTATTTTATTTCCACTCGTTTGTGTAATACAGTTATAAGTACTTTTTTCCACATATAAATATTCATGCATATGTGCATATGTATATATATATAAATATGTTTTCATATAAGATTTCATAGACATATTTCCGGTTGTTGGGAGATTGTGATGTTACAAGTCTAAGCTGTGTCCTGGTGCGTGCGTAAGCTACTCTGTTGAAAGTATCATTGCACTGGATAAATTCGCATCTCTTTAATAAAATTTGTTTGTGTTCAGTAGTTGGTACACAAAAATAATCGATTATTTTTTGCAATAGATGGCTTTGACGATCAGCAACTCGTGTTTCGTTCATTTCGTTTTGGTAGGTGTGATGTATTAGGTGCTCCACGGTGTGAAAGGACAATTGTCGAAAATATAGATAAGATAATCAAAACCAAACAAACACCAAAACCCTTTTTTTATGTCGACGAACCCAGCGTTACCCACCTCCCGCCCAACCCACCGAGGGGCGGTGGTTGAGGGATAATCGAAAAATTCATTAGACCGTTGACCTAAAACCAGTAGCAGTCCGGACTGCCCTGAACCTGAAACCGATCGCGAAATGTCGCGGTTACACTTGCCTCTTACACTACACAGCTACAGATTTGTTCATCAGTTGCTATAAAATTGCATGGGGAAAAAAAGAAGGGAATTTATTTAATTATTTACAGCACTCAGCAAGTAGGTTTTGATAGAAAAAAGCGAGTCAGAGGATTCAATGTTGGTGAAATGTGTATTAAAATCGTTACACAAAGATCTAAAAGGGTCGTACATTCGTTCTGCATGAGCAATGAAAGAGGCCTAAAGGGTCTAAATGATCTTAATAGGAATTGCTTTTGTACAGATTCCAATTTATCACTATACAACTGATAGTGCGGTCTCCACGCAACTGAGCCATATTCTACTTGAAAAAGGCTGAGGACTTAGTACACAAATAAGCTCAACGTATGGGTGCCTTATGAATTTACGAGAAAAAGCCCCACGGACCAAATTTCCATCAGCGAATAACTGCTAAGCCCTAGCAAAATCGACCCATTTCTGAAGCGGATGGTGACCGGTGATAAAAATGAGATTAAGAGCAACGTCAAATTGAAGTGTTCGTGGTCAAAAACAGTGACCCAGCAAAAACAAAAACTGGCTTTTGTTATGTGCTTCGTGGCATTGGAAAGGGACCATTAGCAGCTCCCTAGCTATAGGTTTTCGGAGCAATACTGTCAGCAATTGAAATGTCTGATTTCCAAATACAATTTGTGCTTCATCAGGACAATGTCAGACCATACACATCGATTAACCACAAGTTTTGACAGCTCATGCATCCACCTTACATTCCAGACCTCGCACCAAGTTTGAGATGTTAGTGTGAAATTTAATAAATAGGTTTCCTCACTATTAAAGATTTTTGGTTCACTGTGATATTAAAAAAAAACTCTGTTACAAATTGGTCTGGTTGATCGACTATTCTTTCATTACTCTCCACCGGATAATAAAGGATTATCCAAAAAGAGGTGTAATTTTGATATTCAAAGAAACTTTTCCTTTGGAAGATCGATGGTGTCGTTAGTTGTGTGACACATATCTTCGTCTTGTTGGAAGGAAACATTGTCTAGATGAATACCATTCGAATCCGGCCATAAAAATCATTTATCATCTCTCGATAGCGCAATCCATTCACTGTAACTGTTGCTCTGGCCTATTTTTCGAAAAGGTAAGGTCCAATAACCTTGCCGGGCCATAAACCGCACCAACCAGTCCACGTTGCTGATAAAGAGGCGTTGCAACAATAAATCTGTATATTCCGAGCCACAGATGCGACAGTTTTTCCTACTCCATTCAGGTGGATATGGGCCTCATCAGTCAAAATGATTTTTCGATGAAATTTTTATACTGAATTTTAATATTTCCAAAGCGTTGCTGAAGGGTGTATTGTTCCATTTTTATTACTGGTGTAGTTTTTACTTGTCAAATGTCAACAAATTACTGCTTCAAAAGTGACATTGCCGGAAAAGCAGACTATACAAAATAACGCCTCTTATTGGAAATTGATCAAGTATCTGTGTACCAGTCTTATATTAATTCGAAACCGATTAAATATGGGAAGTCCTCCTTCTAATGGATTGCTCAGAGCACACATAAGTAACAATAGACCGGCATGCTATTGTCCATACATATTCTTCAAAAAAGCTGAAACATGCATCTTGTCAGTTCTTTTTTGTCCTTAAAGCGGACAATCACTATTTGAACAGCTCCATAATTGGATATTGGAACCCTTTATCATTATTGCCGTTGGGGCAACAACATCCATCATTCAGCTGTCTGAAGAAGTGTTTCGGTCATCTGTAAATATGTAAGTAAGTGTTCAGTATGCTGTGGATATCAACCATCAGATTACCTCCTTGACTCCTCCGTGCGTTGGTCGGATGTTTTGCTGGAGAATAAAATAAAGCCTAGCTTAAAAAAAAGTAATAGACAAAAAAAAATAATTTTTGCAAGATTTATTTTAAATAAATGCCAGAGGGTCGGCATGAAGGCACACACATTTTTTATTCAATTATACATACATATATATAATTTATTACCAAACAAATTTATTATGACCTATTTTTTATTAAGAATTGTTAAATTCAATGGCTAATTAAAACCAATACGCTTTTATTAATGTTAGAGAATTCTCGGACGTATACGTGTATAACATTAAACTAACGGTAGTTACCAGATAAGCTCAACTAACGAAGTGATGCCATTTCATTTTGTTAATATCAAAAATAAACTAAATGAAATGATGTTGTTTCGTTTCAGCGCCATGTTAACGAAACGAAATGGTATTGTCATTGGTGAAACCGCGCAAATTCATTGTTAACGGCTTCAACGATACATTTTCCAGACAGAATCGACGGAAATTTTTTCGTGAAATCCGTAGCAACTAAACATTTTCAGACCACTATGATAGTAAACTGTTGGGTTGTTGTTGGTTTTCGGGGAATATTGCGGGAGTGACAGTCCTTGGCCGGATAAAAAATCCGGGTCGTTCCGGTATAAAGACCCGACTGTCGCGGGAACTATTGGATTTTAGTCGCCTCTTACGACAGGCATGCCTTACCACGGGTAAATTCTTGAGCCTCTAACCCGCAGGGATAGTAAACTGTTGGGTATTAATGCCAGCTGGAACAAATATTCATACAAAGTTGCTGATTTATATTTATTTAGATATGTATAAGTTAATATATGTGAATAAAGCATATTCCACATACATTTGAATGTACTCGTGCACACGCAGGTATTTAGTCAATTATAAAATGTAGTGAAATTCTATGGTATGTCAAGCGCTGCTTACGTGCATATGATTTATTGTTTAGAAATTTAACAGCAATTTAGTCTAGTTTAACAGCTCATTGAAAATAATACACGAAGCGAGCGTAAATTGTAAACAAAATATTGTTATATAGATTTTTTCTTTCTTTTACATATAAATTTTTTCTATATACACATAGTAGGTATGCCGTAAAATTTTATGTGCGGTGAGTTAGTGATAACAACACCTATAATGGAAAGAAATATATACTGTTTCAGATGATAAGCATGAGCAACAGAAGGAAAAAATATATATAAAGTAACCACAAAAAATATTTTTTATTTGCAATATATAAAGAAAATAAATTAAATGACCGATAATATATATAAAAACAAATATAAGAATCACATATTAGACTCGTAAAAGGTAATCCATTATTCTTGCATTAAATTACAGGCTTCACCATAGTTAGAATTAACATAAATCGATCAAATATGCAAAATA